GGAGTCCAACAAGAAGCACTAGAAAAAATGTCTTTCTCAGGATACATCCTACTTCTTTTTTAAAAAACATTTTTTTTCATTTATTTTTTGAGAGACAGAGTGCAAGTCCGAGAGGGGCAGGGAGAGAGGGAGACACGGAATGCAAAGTAGGCTCCAGGCTCTGAGCTGTCAGCACACAGCCCGATGCAGGGCTTGAGCTCACAAACCATGAGATCATAACTCGAGCCAAAGCCAAAGTGGAACACTTCACCGACTAAGCCCCCCCAGGTACCCCAGTCTTCCTCTTTCTAAACCTGCTCTTGAGGCCATTGAAACACTTGGAACCGTTCAGAACAAAAACAGAATACAAATACCAGGTAGTGATAGTGTTGTTAATTATCCTGTTTTTGCCGCTAGAAACTCGAAGTGTTTGTGATAGGGTTCAGATGCAGTACCCGGACTGGAAAAGTGTTACCTGACCAAACTATAAACCCCATTCAAGTGAGTGCATGTCCAGCAGGGTCACAAGTTCATGACCATAATGTTAAACAATATAACGCTCTGATCTACAGTACGAGCATATAATATTACGTTATAAAAATAATCTATTTCCCAGTTTGATATCTTTCTATTTACCTTTGATGGAGTATGCCCAGGCTAAGCCTTTGGAACCTAAAACCCAAATTAAGATTGGAGAATCTCCTGAATTCTGTGGTAAACAAAAAATCAGCCACCTGAGTTGAGAGAGAGAATATTGAGAGGAAAATAGTGTGACCACGAGAACACGACATGCTACACTTTACTTCCTGATCCAATTGTCAGAGAGCTACCAGACACACCACCATGCATCCGCCCATTCCAGATATGTGGGTCCTTCTGGAGATGGTGTTAAGTAGTGATGATGGCATAGGGTCCACAGCCAGCCCGGTGCAGCTCGTTTGAATTGTCATTCTGCCACTAATTCCCTGCATGTACTAGAGTTACTTGTGAAACTCTGAGTCTCAGTTTTGTCCTCTGTGAAATGGGAATAAAAATATCACCTCTGTTCATAAGATGTTTAAGATTACACAGTAATAATGCATGTCCAGGGGCGCCTGGGTGGCTCAGCAGTTGAGCCTCCAACTCTTGATTTCAGCTCAGGTCATGATTTCACACTAATCGTGGAGCCTGCTTAAGATTTTCTCTCTCTGGGACACCTGGGTGGCTCAGTCGGTTAAGCGGCCGACTTAGGCTCAGGTCATGGTCTCGTGGTTCATGAGTTTGAGCCCCGCGTCGGGCTCTGTGCCGACAGCTCAGAGCCTCGAGCCTGCTTTGGATTCTGTGCCTCCCTCTCTCTCTCTGTCTCCCTCTCTCTCTGCCCTCCTCTGCTCACTCTCTGTCTTTCAGTCTCTCAAAAATAAATAAATGTTTAAAAAAAAATTCTTTAAAGATACTCCCTCTCTCCCTCTACTCCTCCCCCTCTCTTCCTTTCCCTTTCCTTCTCTCATAAATCAATCACTCAATCAATCAATCATATTTAACATGCAGTACCTGGCCATAGCCAAGTGCTCTTTTAATGTTGCTTAGTAATTCGAGGTCCTTAAACGATGTGAAAGTTCCTAACAGGAAAAGATTCCATATATACAACTCCCCAGAAAATCATGTATGTTTTCTTGCCTTGAAAGTTCATAGGTAGCTAGCCACATTTTGCAGGGATTTGGAAATGTTACCTTTTACTGTATATTGTCGTTTAAAGGTTATGGCTCATCATTCCAGGAAGAAACCTAAGGAGTGAATGTGACCTAAATCCTTGTGGCTTTTTATGAAGTTTGTGATCCCCAGGCCCAGAAGGGAGGGAAACTGCTCTTTTCTTCCAGGTCAGTTAGGTCTCTTGATTATCCTTCGCCCCGAAGCTCTTGGTGTTTCATCTTCTGTTCTTGGAGGCGAGAGGGGTTTTGTATGTGGGTTCCGGGTAATTGGCAGGAGGGGTAAGTTTCAGGGATGAGGGGGGGTCTTACTTTTAGGGCCGTGGACTGGACGTTAACCAGCACAGGGCATGCTGCCTTCTTTTCTCTTTCAATCTGTGTGTGGCATTCCAGAAGTTTCATAGTCCGACATCTTCACGTCTGCAACATCGCTGAGACCATAAATCCAAATAAGTCCCCAAATGTGAATCAGATGTCTCTGTAAATCCAAGTCTTCTCCAGATACTAGCAAATTAACCTATGGCTATTTCCTGAGCTAATTAGTTCCCCTCCCATGGGTAGCAACGCGACGGATGCAAAATCCATTGGTTTCCCGTATGAACTTCCTCATTTTATTTTGGTGAAGTTCAGGACATTTTGAAATTAAATGATTTCCAAAGCTGCACATTATCAAATGCCAGAGTAAAATTATCTGAACATCTCCTTCTTTCCATGCGTAGTTTCAATTTCCTGAAGCTCATTCCTTCCTTCTAATTACAAGTACTCCAAGAAGAACTACTTTTTACAACTCAGCATGAGAGCAAGTAACTCTTATGTCTTCAGGCCAAATCGAATGCAAGAGGCTTTCTGAATCAGCCTGGATACAGCTGCTTAAGTCACAAGATAAATGTTCCCTGTTCTGGCTTGATCATCACCATCATCATCATCATTATTATATCTTTAGTGCCAAGGGTCACTAGGGAAATGGTCTCCCAATGGTCAGAAACTTGTGCTCGATGTTTCCAAAGGAATCCTGCCCTGGTGATGGTAACATAGTAATCTGGTTTCAAGTCATTCTATTTTTCCCCCCATAAAGAGTAATATTTAAAATGTGCAAGTGTTAGCTGTGTGGTAAATGTTATTTTAAAATCCCAGGGTTGATTTAGACACACTGATCAAGTCCAAGTGCACCTGTAGGTATCTTGCCGTTTGCTCATGGGAAAAAGCAAAGCCAGCATCCATTTGAGAGGATTATGCTGTACCACAAAGAAGTGACTAGAAAGTCTTGCCAGACTGGGCTTATCTGTTGTGTGTGCCCCTCACTCAAATAACGACACTGGGAAAGTTGGAAGAAGATTAGCATTATATCTCTGGCAGATCAAGAAAAACATCTTCTGTTGACTCTATCGTTCAGAATTATCCCTTGACTCTTTTCCTAATTTTCTTGACTGTGGTGCGATGGGTTTACTGAACTCCCATGGTGGATTCGGTATCAGTCAGCAAAGGGCCACATGGTGCTATTTGTTTTAAAATTGAAATTTCTCTGCCTCCTGGGCCGCCTCACGTGACTTCCTTCCCTCCCTTCCTCCAGAGTTTCCTGCATTACCAGGCTCTCAAATTGGTCCCTAGCAAGCGTGTAAAACAAAACAAAACAAATCGGTTTTCATTGTTCTTCTGTTTTTAAAATCCATGAGGTTAGGTTTTAATTTGATTAGTAATTATTTTGTTCATGCAACCTTGGAAAATCGTCTATGTCCAATCTTGCCCCCTCAGAAAACTTTGAAAATGGCAGTAACTATCTGTTTTATCTTTAATCTGAAGACACAGCACAAAGGCATCAGAACTCTATAGTACTTCCCTCTCCCCATCTCCTTCATGCGCAAGCCACCAAATGAGAGCTGTGGCTCAAAACCTTGCAAAATGTATTGACTACCACCCCTTGATGGCTTATTTTGCACCAGAAACCGGTTAGGTTCTTGGCATCCCTTTGATTCAACCAGTACCATGAAGTAGAGTCGGTTAGCGTCCACATGCTAAATGTGGACACTGAAACCTTGAGAAGTCAATTTCACATAAGCAGAAAATGAAAAAGCCAGGATCTGATCATGGGGCCCCTTTGTTAGGAGGTCACTCTCAAAAATGTGTGTGTGGCAAGGGTGATGAGAACGTGTAGTAAAAGTGAAGCCATGTGGAGCTCCATCCTTGAAGTAGCTTGAATTAAGACACCAGGCTTTTCCTCTGTCTGGGAGATGCCAGCGTCCACTGGCATGCGTACAGGGGCCAAAGGGACCACCACATGCTCCCGTCCCACCTCAAAGCATTGTCCCCTCCCATGTTCTGACCCATCCTTGGCAAAATATGCTTCTAAAATGAAGGTGGAGGATGAGAAATAAAGACAATAACTACCCAACCTGCATGATAACTGCTGTTTTTCCCAGTTGAGTAAAAGATTGTCACACCTGACTTTCAAGGTTTACATGGATAGGTGTCTTGGTTAGAATTTCATGCATGCATGGAGTCCAATGCTTTCCAGTAGAGAGGTGCTCTTTGCACACACTCTTTGCACTTGGATTTGTTTTCTGTTTGTTTATGAGTAGTATTGTGGTTCTCCAATGAAAGGACCTTCTCTGCTCAATGACTTGATGCCTTCAGTGCTAGCAATCACAAGAAATAGGTATCCAATAATTTAATATAACAATCACTATGGCGAGCTAAGGATACTCCCATAGCTATGTCTTGGGGCCCAGCTTTGGGCTCTACACCTAATACTCCCATAGCTATGTCTTGGGACCCAGCTTGGGGCTCTGCACCCAGTTCTCTTCCTTTGAGGACACTGACAATACGGACTCGTTCATTTGAGGCTTTTTGCTTATCTCGTACGTACGTACAGAATGCTAAACATTGCTGAGTTTCTTTGTTAAATTACACCTCGATTTATCTGCACATTGTCCAGCTTCTGCTGGACGAGGAATGTTCCTGAAGACTTCAGTTTTGGCTTTAGTTTCCTGTAATTTTCAGGTGACGACGCACGCTTTTACGTAAAGGAAGACCAGGCCAGACCTGGGAGCCATTTTGTTGAGGAAAACTGGAAATCCTCACCCTGTTAAAAATGGAGTTACAACTAATAGCACATTACTTCCTAAATGTAAGGTTACGTTTTCTACCCCCTCAGACTAACATCACCTCTCCACGTTGAGAACCAGAGCAGCATTTGTCAACCCCGACCCCAAATCGCTGACCCTTTGTTTTTAGTACTTCGCCATTCTGCTTTTGCTTTTTTAATTTGCTTGTGACTCTCTGCTTCCCCCATCTTTTTTTTTTTTTTGGTACAATGATTCTTACCTTGTCTTTCCCCAGTCCGTTTCTGACCTGGAGAGACGTGCAGCATGTTATTGTCAGGACTTCCCGTGCAGGACATTTGAACGCTAATGACTGGAAAACCAATGCTGCGGGTTTTAAGGGTGAGAACTTCTTTCATATTCTGTCACAGGCAAAATATTTTTATTTCCCCCCTCCCCCATTTTAAATGGAGAGCAGGAAATAGAATTCCTCAAAAGAGACTTGAAATTGTGTGCTGACACACAAGGAGCTTGCTCTTTGAGTAAAGAAAAGGCAGATTCATTTTTTTTTTAATTCAAGCAACACATCAAAGGCAGATTTCCTTGGCTTCCCACGTCATGGGTCAATTTCTTAAAAGACAACCAAGTTCCAAGTATAGTCAACGTATGGGGCTTTTAATTAGTTTTTTATCGCTGTCATTGGTTATCTGAGTGGTATTTGTACCAATGTATTTACAAATTCCTCATCTTCTATAGGGATTGCTTCCACTTAAAGGCTAACTGGTATATTGTGTTCACTGTTAGTTGCTAGGCCATGCTTTGTCTGCATTGTGTTTTGGTCTCTTTTTAAACTTACACAGTGGCTAACTCCAAGACATTACATTATATGAATAAAAAGTTCCTAGGAAGCTTTATACCACACAGTCTTTACACAAGTTATGCACAAACACAAATTAAGCACAATATGTAATAAGTGCTATTTTTTTCATGACTGAGGGTTATAGTTACCACAAACTATCTTACTAATGGTAGCCATTTTGCTCACCATCGTCCATAACATATGTTATAATGAAAAGAAAATAATTACATAAAGCCGATGTCCTAAACCTTCATTCACATGACCTCAATTTTAACCCATTAAGTTACAACAAAGATTACTCTTGGTTATATCTGTAGACTTAAATTTACTCCCAGATAATCTTGGTGTCATTATATATCCCTAGGGGTAAAAAAAAAAAAAAAAAAATAGTATCCCATACTATAGGGAATATCTACTTAAAAATTGAGGTTCTGGTCCTCAGATCATTGGTAACATGTTAAAGAATCCTGAGCGAGTCATTTACTTTTTTGGGCCCTAACGTCCCCAACTTAAACATTTTAAAAGCGGAATAATATTATCTACATATGATTTCTTAAATAGGATTTTAATATATCTTTAGTGAAGTACACCCAATGTATGCAAATCTCCATGCTGGAAATGTAAAATGTAATTTAAAAAACTACTTGCAAATAGCTTAGTATAGCCTCATGCTTAGCCCAAACCTATAAATATATCAGATAACCTGTGCCATATACAATGTGTCTTTGGTTAACACCTTCACTGAAGACTTCCTCCATTTTTAGAAAAATATCCCTCTGCTTTTGAGTATTATCAAACACCTCTCCATACTCGTAAACTCAATAATCATCAAGATTGGATGAACTTGTAATCTAAAGAGTGGTAAATACTTGTTGGGATCACATTGTCTGAAGCCCTAATCAAGACACTTGATTCCAAAATAGCAATTATTACGTGCGGCATCAAAAACATTTCACATGTCCAGTTGTCCGTCATAGAAAATCCAGGATGGACTTCACCGGAAGTATATGTTTTATTTTTATTTGCCTCCACACCCTACCAGCTCTTTCTGTATAAATCCGTGAGTCTGGGCAGTGGTTTTGGGGAGGGGGCAGAAGGGCCCAGACTATAACCTTGGCCAGCTTAGTGCTGCGATGAACTTTTTAGTAGAAGGTTCACAGACTAAGTACATTGACCTCCACGAAGCTGAGGAATCAACTTTAACCCAAATAAAAGTTTTAGTTTTACTTATCCCTTTTTGGCAAGTTAAAGAGAGCAAATGGTTCTAATAAAAAATGCAACTCTTTTGAAAACCTCTGTTGGTTTTGGAGAGGGGGAAACAGAGGGATTTAGAATAACTCCCCAGATCCAAACCTGAGTCTGAAGGGGGCTCTGGCAAGGAGGAAGGAGCATTTTACTATTGCACGTGGCAATATTTAGTATAATATTCCACTCTTCTCTTAGATCGCTGCCAAGAGTAACAATTAAAGTTCGCTTTTTCATAGATGAATTACCCTGAACAGTCTGGGCTCCCAGTGGAATTGTTTTGTAATTTCGTTGATGGCAAGCCCCATATTTCATCTAAACATGATCATAATAAGAATAATTTTTTCAAGAGTTATATTCTTCCCTACTCTAAGCATTACCATCCCCTCCCTAGTGTCCCACAAATAAAAGTGATTAAGGCAGAGGCTAGCAGGGAGAAGAAACGTGCTTTGGGGAAGGAGAGAATGGAGGTCCCTGGGACTGAACAAAGATGGGCGACTTTTTTATGAAATAAGAACTGAGCAAGCAAAAAATAGCTAATACTTGGAAGAACTTCATGCAAAGAGAGCTCAGCGAGAGCTCATATTTTAAATTAGGTCAGCCAGCGTTTGCAGGCCTCGCTTAGCAGGAACACATGGCCACACATTTCTCCTTAGACAGGAGAAGACAGAAGTTGCCTGCAAACAGGAGTGTGTGGTCACGGCTGCCCTCTCTCTCCTGTGCAACTTAGTCCTAGTGCTGAGCAACGTGTGTGCCTGAAACGAATCCGAAAACATCTGTGCTCCCCCAGGCTCGCCTTGGTGCCCTAATGTTGAGCAATTTAACTTGTTTGAAGCAATTTAATGTGTTTAAAAAAAAAATAAAACCCGAAAATAACTTTGCAAATTGGCTAGTAGGTGCTCAGACCTGCATTGGGAATGTCAATATCAGCATCAGGCCTGCATTGCGGATGTCAATATCAGCATCAGGCCTGCATTGCGGATGTCAATATCAGCATCAGGCCTGCATTGCGGATGTCAATATCAGCATCAGGTCTGCATTGCGGATGTCAACATCAGAATTTCCCTTTCATCAGGGAAAGAGCACAAGCAGCTGAGAGTAGCAACCAATTCAGTATTGGGGTCTTGTCATCGATGAACTTGGCAGTCATCACTGACAACTCCAGAAGAGCCAACACCCTATAGAACAGTTTCTCACCAAACACTGCCAAGTCCTTACATTTCTTCAGAAGTACCCATATGTACTACATCCCAGGTCGAGAGTAGAACCAGATGATCAAGGAGCTAGGGTGATGTGGGCCCCACCGCAAAGCAGACTCCAGCCATTGTAATCCACATGTGTTACGGACCTGGAAATGCAAGAGATTCCCTCCAGCAGCAGCTGCTGGCTTCCTGTTGACCAGCACAGGGAGGCTCTCGTTCAGACAAGGAGGTTGGCCTTGAGAAACCAAGGAATGTGGCTCTCTGCTGACTCGTGTGTTTCTCTGACAGTGGGATTACCCTGACCTTGCATGCTGATGAGCTGGGTGTACAGAATTTCCTTCTTTTTCTGTGTTCTCATTTTAGTAACATGCTATACACAGTCAGATAGTAAGAGTAACTCACAGTGAAGGGACCCCCCCGCCAAAGCCAGAAGGTGTTCATCAATATTTTTATGCTAATGGTACCTTAATCTTTAACAATTTTACTTGAACTCAGATTTTTCTGTCCTACTGCTTCTTAAATAATAATCACAATCACGGATAGTGTAGTTAAAAGGTATTATGCAGAAGATCCTGTTTTCAAACATAACATGGACCAATGAGTACCTACCTATGGAAACAGACTAAACATTAGTTGGATTGTTCATTGTGTGAATAATTTTGGCTACATTCCATACATCTTTTGACTTTAAACTTCCTCTGGAGATAGTTTCTTTAAAAACAAGTGGAATAAATCCCATGCACTTCTCAAAAAAAAATCTCCTTGAGGTTATTCATGAGAATAGGAAAGTATTTGTATGAGGCCAGATAAACAGATGTGATATTTGCCACTAGAGAACTGAACTCCGAATTCCTGTGTTTCGCTCCTGCTCAACATTTGTAATGCTAGGAGATGACTTCGACATTAAATCATTTATTTGGGGTTTTTTCCAGTGTTACTTCCTTCTCCTTTGATGCCTTCCCTTCCCTCTCATGAAAAGTCTTCTCTATTTTTTTTTCTTTTCTGTGCTTTTTCATACCCCCTTCATGTACCTTAAAATGCACAAATCAGCTATAGAAGCAAGGGCTTTTTGCCATTTGGATGTTTCTCTTCATGGAACTTAATTTATGCAGTCTCTTCGTTTATTTATTTACAAATACTTCCTGATCAATTTCTGCATGCCAGTCGGACACATGTTGAAGTGCACCCAGAAAGGGGAAGGGAGAGGAAATGTCAGGGGCCCCGTGGCATTGCCTAATCTGGTCGGGCCACGATATGATTTACATACACACACAGAAATTTACACTGCACTTTTTTTCCCTTCTGTCAAGCCCAAATGATCTGCCAGTTCGCATTTATAAAAAGTGTCAATGCAAACTTCCCTGGTCATCTCAAATGCAGCCTAACCTCAGCAGAAAAAGGCCATCTGCTGTAGAGACTGTCTATGGTGGTAGGTCACGGATATTTCAACCAGCTCTGTTTGTGCATAGATGATGTATGGACCAAACCAGCCATGCAGAGAACTTTAATTGTGCATTCTTCTAGAAGGCATGGCCCTTATCGTTTTAGCTCTTTGTGATCATCCCCTCTGTTCTACCGCTTTAATCTGAGGAAACTGCAAATCCGTAGTCGCCCATCCCCCTCAGTTGCTGGGGCTGTGTCCGCTGATCCCCGTCCCCCAGCCCCAACGAGTTCTTACCTCTGGATCGCGGTCGCAGTTACAGGTGGAACTGAATGCATGCCACGTCAATGCTTTAGGTGTTTTGCAAAGTGTCTGTATTTGGATTATATGACTGTATACAGTTAAACGCTCTTAAATTTAGGAACAGGAATAGACCTCAGATAATAAATTAGGACCTTCTGTCATCTTTACTAGGCGAAAGAATGAAAAAAATGTTATTGAAACTCAAAAATGACAACTAAGTGAGCGAGGTTACCACGCCTTCCATTTCACTGCCCTCAGACTATGTAAGTCTTTCTTTTTCTACCAGCATGTTGCTGAAACCTTCCCATCCTCACTGACTCTTTCTTTGACCAAAACTAAACTACTAGATTTTTTTTTATTTTATAATTTCTAACTGATGTCCCATCGTGGGAAAACAATTGACAGTCTAACA